TTAATTATAAATATATTTTAAAAAGTATAAAGTATTTTTTATTACAAATTATTAGATAGTTATTTAATGAGAAAGTTTATTTTGTGAAACAAAAATAACGTGGTAAAATAATTTAGTTAAAATAAGAGAATGTTAGAGCTATATGGTGTAATACATATAACGATATTCAATTTTTTTTCTTTTTCTATGCACATTTATTTAAATTTTATAGAATTTAAAGTTGTCATTACGCACCTCAGTTTCTTCTCCTTTGAGCAATTGTTCACGCATAATTTCAGTAAACGTTCTAGAACCAATATCTGGTGTTTTGCCACCTGTAATCAGGAATCAAACGTAACGCAAAGCGCAACTGTTAGATTATTATCGATAGAATTTTTACGTTTATATTTCTAATTATGATTGGCCCTACCCACTTCATTTCAATAATTTTTATTTAATGCCCTTAGAATATTTGTTTATATTCTAAGTAAACTACTGGATTGACTCTCATTTCCGCGCTGCATAAATAATTAAATAATTTGTCAAAGATTTGGAAATATTACATTTAAATATATAGAATAATATAATATTTTATTCTATGTAGTTATTGCAACGGGTTTCAGAGAGCTGCAACAGTAGGTGGCATATAGCATACGTACGTGAATATTTTCTGCCATATGAAGCATTGTCCTGCTCAAGTCTTCCATATCGAAAAATACTTTAGCCATCTAGAAATTAACTCATTCTAGTTATTAATAATATTTGCACTCATACCATTCATACTGTTCATTGAATAAGTTCATGCTTTAAACACAATTGACACAATGAAACTCTGACACAATGAAATTAAGATCTAAAACTTTACTTCAAAGCAATTACTAATATAAAATAATTTGGATTGTTTAATTTTTCAAATTCAACAAGAAACAAGTTTGAAATAAAAATGTAAGAATACTATATGATACTTACTGATGCTAACTTAATATTTATTTTAATAATTGACTTTTTATCACCATTGGAATATAAAATTACTATTGTATCATAATCAGAATGTTTATAAAACATTATGAGCACAATATAACCGAGTTTCATTGTACCATATAATAAACAAAAGTATAATTTTGTCCTCAAGAACTCAATCTCATTTGACCTTCAATATAGTATCCTCAGTTAGCAGTTGATTCCATCAAGTTGACCATCACTAAGATTGGAAAAAAATGTTTATATTAGTATATTTTTTTCAAAAGAAATACATTCACTCTCTTCACTCATGCTAATTTTAACAACGTATATGTATATATTACACTTGTATCTAAAATATTAAATATGATCATGCTCAGCATATCATTACTAAAAAAAGAAATTTGTGATAATATTAAAGATATTACAGTTTTTATAAAGTGTTACATTATAAGTTAAAATTGTAATGTATATAATTATAATAGTTGTAATATAATACATAATAAAAATATATTACATTACAGTAATATAGATATCTTAAATTAAATGTATGATAAATGTCATTTTATATTTACATATTATTATGTTTATATCTTTATCATGTTTTATGATTCTTATATAAAATTATATTTTCTCTTCAAAGAAAAGATTTCAAACTTAAGATACAAGAAATAATGAAACTTTAATGTGGAGAATAGGCCAATGAGGTAATAACTAGAAACTTATAAAATAAAAAAATTAAGTATTAATTCACTATTATAAGTACTATCCGTTCATCTAATTTATTGTACCAAAAACAGAACATTATAAAATAAAAGTATATTTCCGAAAGAAATTTGGAAAAAATGAATACATCAACATGTTAAATATTTTAAATATTAATATAAAAAACTACCAAATTTTTAAACTGTCTATAAAATTTTCTGTTTATAACTTTTTGCAATTGTTTTATCAAATTTTTGTATGCAATTAAGTAAATTAAGATGCACAACTTTTCTTAATGAATGTTTTTATGTTTATAAAAGCTTTGGATGATAAAATAAAAAAAAGAATGCATAGAACATTATCTATTTTTTAAAATTAAAAACAAACAGGAAAAGATATAATGTTTTATCAAAAGAAAATGGTCAATATATTCAAAAAGTTTCATAACTTCTTGAATTTTCAGATTTAAGATCTTGTTAGAACTAAGAGTAGACAATATTGTTCATAACACGAAAAAATATTTATTATTAAACATAAGTATTATACTATTAATTTGTAATAATTTGCTGTGCATCGATGAAACAGAACAATAACATAGATAGCATAGATAGCTTTACCAAAAAAAGGAATAATTAACAGTCAAACTGGTAATATGTGATTAAAAATAAAGAAATAGATTGACTTGTTACGTGCTTCTACTATACAGTGTTAAAATTGGTTATTTCTCGAAATCTATTTACTTAATTAATACATAAGAACTATTATATGTAAGGATTTCTTTATTATAAAACGGAATTTATTTATAAATTAATTTAATAAATTCTTCTATTATTTAATATTAGAAATAATATAAAAAATGATAACAAATAATTGAATTGATCTAGAAATCATTATTTGATCAAATAAAACATTTTATTATTATCATCTAAAATGCAGAATAAATGAAAACAAATTTTAACGCTGTGTAGGAGTATAAAAATAATTGAGACATTACAGAGTAATACTTAATGTTTACAGACTTGGATTATATTGCTTATCATTATAACACAATAAAAACAATATAACAAGAACTGTTTCAAACATTAATTTGTTTATGACTCAATTTCATTTTCTCACATAAAATCATGCAAATACTTCTATAGAACACAATGTGGAAAGTAAAATTTATAAAAAATTTTACATAATTATATAATAGTGAATAAAAAATCTTTGTGTAAACCTATTATGATATCACATATTTTAAAACATAATTTATCAGTATCAAAAACGCATTATTTTCAAAAGATATTTTGATTGTTACCTTTCGATATAATATAAAAAATAATTGGTAATTACTGTATTTTGTATAATATTCATAATAAAACGAATACAAACCTTCTGCAAAAGGGTCAACTCGTTCTGGAGAGATAATCATCCTTCGTCTCTTTTGTCGATATTCATCTTCTCTGTCAGCAATAGTAGGGCGTCGTCTATCAGCAAATGGATCAAAATCTTTGTCACTCTAGTTAAAGTTAAAAAACAACATATTAATTACATTTTATAACATCTTCAAAGTAAAACCAATTTAATACATATAACATTACATAAATATTTTGAAAAAAATACCTGTGCCACATCATTAAGTAGAGCTGCAGGTGCATTATATCCAGCTCTTTTATTTGAACCAAATGTATTAGGTTCATAATCTTCATCCTTTAATAAGAATTTAATAAATAATTATACTTAATATTGTAATTTTTAATACAGAATACAAATACTTTTATGTAGACAAAATCCACTTACTTCAATTTCATCATTAGCGGCAATAGAAGTGACATAACCATCATATTTGTTATTACTTCCATCATAAATGTCTTGATCATAAAATCCTGTCTTGCCGAGTCCTACTTGATCTTTTTCGGTTGTTGCATTTTGAATTTCTTTTTTCTTTGATTGGATCTCGCGGATTTGTGCTTCAATATCTAAAACACATTATATTAATAAGGAACATACTGTAATATAATATAGTTGTTTCAATATACAATTTTGGGTATTCACAAAACTTATTTATAATTCACATGTGCACAAAGTAATACAATTAATTTTTACAATGCTTCTATCTCCAATTTACTCTATACCACAATCTGATTTATCTAAATTTCTACGCCACTTTTATATTTATATACCCTAGCCGACCTGTTATCCAGGTAAGTTTATCTTTCAATTTTAAAGACATGATTATTGCCCAAGCTTGACTAAAATCTAACAGTAGGCCAAATACAAATATCTATAAATATTAACAATATTTGAAGCTAATATCAGAATTATCTGACAATAGTATCATTATATGAAATGTATAGGAATATAAACATGTATAGAAATAAATGTTATGATAATTGATGAATGAAAATATAAAATTATAGATGCACATAGAATTATTGTATTGATGTTGGCAATAAAATAGATAACACGTTTAATTTTATTTGTACACTTTAAAAATAATTTCTAACCTAATGAAACATCAATTATTGACTTGATTACAGTTCACCAAGTTTATTAAAGTTAACTTGATAATATAGATGCATAGAATATAAAAATAAAGTAATTATAATAACACGGACCTTCGTGCGTACGTGGAATGGAATCCATCGTGACAGCGTTGGTTTAATAAATTGTATTAAATTCACTGTATTGCAGCAATCAGTATTAGCACGTACGAAAAAGCTTCACCATATTATCTTTTTGCTATATAAAAGAAAAATTATCACGGAACAGGAGTATTAGATAGAATGAGTGATGCGTGTTTAACTCAGATGATTGTTGGATTATTGAAAATTAGTAACTCCTGCCGTATCGACGCGACTTGAAGAGGGCGTGATTGAGTCATGAAAACGTGAAAAAACTAGAGTGGAGAATGAATAAAAAATATCATCAATATAATAGTTAGTAATCGAAAAATCATATGAAATATATTATAGGGATCTACTAATGGGTATCATTAGTGTGTTCTTTATATAATGTCTGTATTCCGAATGCCCAATATAAGAAACTGCATAGCTTCTTTGCCGACTATCGCGCTCTCCGTGCAAAGAGATTATTTCTTAGGGACTTTACTCTTAAAACCAAAGCTCCCTACAATGTTTTATAATTGTAGTCACTTTTATTTTAATTCTATTTTTTTTTATTAATAATTTATTTATTAATAATTTCTATTTTAATTTCATTAAGTATTGATAATTGAAGAAATAATAACGAAAAGTGTAACAAGTGAACATAAGAGGATTTAATAAACACCAATAAATTAGAAATAAAATTTATTATAAAATCATTGTAATGATTCGAAATTAAATACTGAGTACCATAATTCTCCACAAGGGCGGCGGTGCTGTTCAGAGATTCAGATTTAAGTACCTGTGATTTTAGAAATAAACAAATGAAACAAATAGTTTTCTTTGATGTTTTTGTTTTATTCAAGAAGCCTTTATTTTGTAGCAAATGTGAATTTTTTGTTTATGATGGTGAAATATTGTGTTGTGGTGGATTGCATCAACAGTAAAGAAAAGAAGAAAAAAAGAAATAAGTTGAAACTACAGAAAAATTCTCTGTTTACCGTACCCAAAGTAAGTGCAACCTTAAAACTTCAGTCTACTTCAAATAAAACAAACAATTAAATAATATTTTAACACATACTTACAATTAATACCAATATTTTTACTGCACATTTATTTTGGATTAAATGATAAAAAATGAAAATTTTGTTTACAGAATAATCAAATTTTAAAGCAATGGAGTGAAATATTGAAGCAAAATTTGGATTTCGATCCAAATTGTCGTAAATTTATATGTGATGAACATTTTGATGAAAAATACATAATTAGAAAAGATATAATAACAATACCTGGTGAACAACCTTTTGTATCTGAAAGACAAAGAATTGTCTTAAAGCCAGATGCTATTCCAACATTAGATAAAAAAACTTCAGCAAGTGAAAATGACATCGTAAGAGATTTTATGAAAAGTTTACCAAGTTTACCTATTCCAATATCATTAACCCTTCAGTACCCAGGTGGTTTTTAGTGTCTCACTTGCACTGCAGCGACAGACTATAGGTTAAATGTTGTTGCGTGAGAGAAATTCTTATAACCTGAGTACTAAAGGGTTAAAATATTCTGTAATAACAGTCAATCTTTAATATTACAATAAAACTTTTTTTTCAGGAAAGTACTGTCTGCAATATATGTTAAAGTATGGCAGTTGCTGCAAGTGAGGAATTTGTAGTTAAGAAGGTTTGTTTTTTAAATCAAATAAAAATCTATGATAAAAAAATAGTTAATAACTTCATTAATAAAAGTTAATAATTATATTTYTCTGTAGGAGCCAGTCGATTTAATGAGAGAAGATGACATTATTGAGCCCAATATTATTGGAAAAGTATGATTCAAAATTTTCTTTTCTAGTCAATTCTGTAAATTTGATAAGTGCATAATGCTTTGTYTTGCGTCTAATGTATTTGTATCTTTAATAGGCGGAGTGCATATATGCAGAATTATCAGAATCATATACAGATTTTTCGATAAATGACCTCATTAAGAATTTAGAAACGCATAAATTACCAAAGAAATGGGCCTGGGTTGATGATCACCTCGATTCACCCTCAGTGATAATGTGTCATTTGGATTATGAATCATATGATGTCAAATTTCGTGTAAAAATCGATAAGGTTCTAAATGTAGTTGTAAGTACTTTCTTCTATTTTTTTTTAAATTTTCTACAGATGTACGCTAACAGTATAATTTTTTAGGTAACAAACGTAAAAATTAGTAAATCAATAAAAAGTGACTTTGTTATTTCTAGTATGAATAAATTATGGGAATTTCTACAAAAATTAGAGAGATCTCAAATGTGTAGTGGTAGTGGATTTGATTGTCAAAAGTATTTATTGCAAAATTAAGTTTTTCTTACGAGAAATTGTTTTTCTTGTGCTTTATATTTTAATTACAGTACTCATATTCTAATAGGTCTTCAGAAACATGCACAGTTTTTTTGAAAGCTGATGAAAAGTATAAAATACAAGCAGCAAGATATAGATGCAAAGCATGTAGACGACTGAGATCAAAATTATGCAATAAATTATACCTACCAAAAATGGATGTTGATGAACTTAATAGAAAATTAAAACTTGAACTTAATGCTGTGAAGAAAAAGTGTACTCGCCTCAGTAATAAGGTGCGTTTATCTCTAATGTATACAACTAACTGTTATCGTGAATCTAATAATTTCGTTTTGTTAAGGCTTTACATACGTCCAGAATTAAAAAAAAATCAATTTTTTTTTTAATCAAATTGTTGTTCTCTATAATTTTAGGCTTATTTCTGTGAAAGTCGATTGTAAAAATTTCCCATAGATCCAAAGTTATGGTAGAAAATGTGACTGCCCGACGAGAGTTTGGTGCATGCAGGTAGCTGTCATACAATCTTTAATATTTTTTAATGCGATTTTTTTTTAAATATTCAAAATCGTTTTCTCTATAGTTTTTTTTCGAACCCCGGATGTTTGATATTTTGATATAAAAATTTAATAAAAATAATTAAAGTGTAAAATTTTTTTTTTAAACTATCATAAATTGCTAAATTTTGCAAATCGATTGACATTTACTAGAGATATGATACAGATCATGGAATAACTTTTTTTTTAGTGTTGCGGATCACGTGATTTTTAAATAGTAATTTTTGTAAAAATAAAGAGAAATAACATTTTTTATAAAGTTTAAATACCAATAAACAATGTGCACTATTTATTTTTATAAATTTCTATTGTTATCTCTACTAAAAAAATTTTTTTCTTTTAAGGCATTTTTGGCGCTGCTAGATGTATGTAAGGCCTTAAATAACTTTAATGTTTGAATTACAATATTACAACAGTATTTACTACCATTGAGTATATACTACCGATTGATTGTTTAGAATAAAACTCTGAAGCAAATCATCGAAGAAGAAAGAAAAAAATGTGCTGATGCTTCCGAAACTGTTATAGAGAAAGAAATACTTGCTCTACCGCCAATTCAACAAGAAACTGTCAGAGCATGCTTTGCTGCAGCTGCATTAAACAATTGCAAACAAAGAAGATACACTATTGAGTGGGTATACGAGTGTCTTTTAATAAAAATTAAAAGTGCGGCCGTTTATGCAAGGCTGAGATCTAGACAAATTTTACCTTTACCCTGTAAAGATACCCTCCAGGAATATATCCAGAAATTAGATAGCGCTTTTAATTTTTCCAAAGCTCTCTTTGAAACCTTTAAATTGAAAGATTCTCGCATGGAAGTTTACAAGAAAAGGGGTATACCTAATATCATTTGTGGTTGACGTGTCACAGTTAATTGTAAAACTAATAATTATTACAAAATGTACTTGCAAATTAACAACTAAATCACACTAATGCTTTATGATAAAATACTAGCTGAGAATACTAATAATAGTAACAAGCTACTGAAAATAACTTTTCAGTAATTAATCTGCTTTTTAGCTCGTTCTATCTTACCGGCTTTGCTACTGCTCTTCTTTCCTTTGATAATTGTATTTATCACTTTTTAGACTTCTCATTAGCTTCGTAAACGCTTACAATGTCATATTCCGAATAACACACATATACTGATGGACATTATTTTTCTCCATTTCATAGGTACTTTACTGCTCGATGAAGTAGCTTTAGGCGAAGCTATAAAATGAAATCAACGAACAATGCAGCTGCATGGTTTCATTGATTTAGGCTCTTATACACCAGAAGGAGCTCTCAATACTAGAGCTGATCATGCTCTAGTATTTATGTTTCAATCTTTTCGAGGTGATTGGGTACAAGTAATTGCCTGCTTCCTGAGTCCAAATGTTACTGTTAGTGACATATTACACAAATTAATAATTGCATGTGTAATGCTATTGAAAAACGCTGGCTATAAAGTTGATGCAGTAACCAGTGATGGAGCTGAATGGAATCGAGGAGCATGGAAGTTATTCGGAATTAATGAATATAGATTTAGTTGTCAACATCCACATGATCCCAGTAGGCGTTTATGGTTCCTATCAGACTTTTCCCATTTATTAAAAAATTTTAGAAATAAAATCATGAAGCTGCCGTCATTTTCGGCAACTTTTTGATGTATATTATTGGTTCCAAATTTTATCATTAAATACTTGTTTACTTTAATACAACTTCTAGACTCCGGACGGTTATGTTTATCGCAGATATTGGGAGGCTCTTTTAGCTAACGAAAATAGTTAAAAATAGTTGAGGAGCCGGACAAACAAAAAGTGAACAATTGATTGAAAACAAGAAACAATAGAAAACTCCAATGCTTTGCTTAGAAATGAGAAAAAAACGTTTTTGTATTTTCAATTATTAATAACTAATTAAATAATTAATTAAAAAGTGTGCAATAGATTTTAAATATGCAATTATGGGCAATTAAAAGTACTTATTCATTTTTTTCTGCTGTTCAGGTTCTATGCCAACTTTTCTGGGGTGATTTCGTCGAATTTGTGTTATTGAAAATAACTAAATTTCGAGTACGATAATTCTCCACGAATGCGACGGTGATGTTCAGAGGTTCAGATTTAAATACCTGTGATTTTATAAATAAACAAATGAAACAAACAGTTCTCTTTGATGTTTTTGTTTTAATCACGAAGCCTTAATTTAATTAAGGATTAATTAAAGGATTAGGATTAATTTTCTTACAGCTCCACAGGTTATTTTATATTGTAGATTTTGTGCTTTACTGTTTAAGGTAACTGGCAATTACATTTTACATGCAGTATTATTCATTTTTATACTAATTGAGTTAAAGATAAATTGATTCCATTTCACAATTTTTTTACAGATATATAGGATGAATTATGTGTGAATGATACTCTCAGTCTATAATATCCTTACTAAAAGAAAAAATTTTGTTGAAAATGTTAGTTCTTTAACCCAATTATTTTCTGAACAATCGAAAAAATGTAATTTCCAGTTTTTCTTTTGTTTTCAACTTGGATATTTATGATGGACTTCTTGTTGATTTTTAAAAAAATTACTTATCGACAAAAACACATCAATCAAGTAACATTGTAATCATATGTAGGAGGAAAGAATACAATTATATTTTATTAATTTTAAATATCAATATTATTGTAATATTTTTATTATTAATTGTTTATTTTTTAATATTAAAATCATTTCACCATTAATGCTTTAACGACAGTACATTATCATATTATTATATATATCTAACTATTAATACCTATGGGTAACAGTGTCTTATCTATATTACAATTTTTGTTTCGGAAAAATTAATACTATATAGCTAGTACTTATCTAAGATAATTAAATAAAATATTCCTTTAAAAAACTGTTGTATATTACGGCTGATGAAAACCAGTGATATCATTTTCTTTTAGTGAGTATTTGAGTTTTTTCATTTGTAAAATAATATGAAGAAATTATTATGATGTTTAGATGGTCAATATTATTGTTATATATATACTTTTAAATTACTCATTTTTCCTCAAAATCCAAAATGGATCTATTTTTTTTTTTTTCATTCAAACAAGTAATATTGTTCAAAGATTTAAATAAAATAATAATAATTTTAATTGTATTAAGCTCCTTACAAATATATGTTATATATAAGTATATAATCACTTGCTTAGTATGCACTTTATCTCTCTACTTAATGTGTATAATATATACTATATACATATATATACTCTAATTCTATGTTCTTATAATAATAGTTCATGAATATAGAGATTTTTTCCGTAGTAAAGAATTATTCCTATAAATGAAAAAAGATGGAATAAAAAGATTATAGTATAATATTTTGCAACATTTTATGCTATATAGTAATAATAAATAGTAAATATATAATATACCGGACAAATTACTTAAGATTTTGAAATTAAAAATATCTCGGTGTATTGCTTTTGATGCTATTCAAAGATTTGTATAAATAAGAATATATTTAATCTTCTTTTTTATATAATCAAAATTATTAACTATACTAAGGTAATTTCAAAATACTTCAGATTTAGGATTCTATGATCTAATTGTAAACTAAAATATTACTTTTCGAAATTGGAAATACTTTAAATTTATTTATGACATTTTTGTAAAAGACATTCAATTGTTTTTGTTTTTATATCATAATAGCGTTCTTTATTTATTAAGAATTGTTCTGATCCATTGTATTGTATTTTATTTTATAACATCTTCTAGAAGATGAAATACAGAGTGAGACAGTAATAATCGGGTAGGGGATGAATTTTCACGACAAAATAAATTAAAAATTTAATTTATATTTTTATCTGTAGCTTCGTTTTCGAACCAATCAATTCTGAAGTTTGAATAATTTAATATGATTTTATCTCTATTCATATCAATCATTGTCTAAATTCTAAATGAAAATTATAACATTGAATCGTACGTGATAGACGAATTTCAATCTCGAAGTTTATAAACAAATCAATATATATGAAATATACATATGAAAATCAAAGTCAGAAATGTATAATATATATTTTATTATTCGAAAATTCTTTTAATCGAATATCATGTACTCTGCCTCTAATCAATTCGGGTAAATGACTTGGTCGTACTATGATTACCGCTCAACCTTTTATAACAAGGAGGACCATTACTTATCCGTATGTAAATACGACAGTATAAGTCTATGGTGGTAACATTACATATTTGTTCAGAAATTTATTATAATGTCTAAATATAATTTAGATTATATTTCAATAAAAATTGCATTACAATAACGTAAAAAAAAAAGCTTTAAGCGTTTTCAGATAAAATACAATACCAATTTGAATTATCGATCTCATGAATTCTTGATAATTAGCGAACACTATTACGATATAAAATTGATAACTGTTGAATATTTATAACAAGAAATACTGTAGGTATGTGGATTCTTAAAATTGATCGCAATGATACAAATATATTTTGTAATTTTTATATATAAAACAGTCAAATTCGATTTAAAGTATCTTTACCAATCAAATATTCTCCTCTTTAATTTTAAGTAGTTCATCCGGTTACACTCTGTTAAGTACTAATATTATTTATTAATAGTACTTATATGTTATAAATATACTATTCAGTATTACTATATAATATAAAATCTTATAATTAATATTATATTATAATACATTTAAATTAAATAATCATTCAAATTTTATTAGAGATTTTGGAAAAACCATAAACAAACTATACTTCTAATTAAAAAAAAAACAAATATGTAAATTATTATAGTATTTATTGTTAAAAATTCTGTTTTATCTATAATATTCACAAAAACCGAAGTAAATCTCATAAATGTCAAAGTGTATTCAGAAAATGTCATTAAAATGCGTCGATATTAGAGTATAGAAGAGGTCTTCCAACGAATATTATTCGATTCAGGTACTCGTACCAATTTTTATGCATTTTAAAAATCTTATTTCGTTTGTATAAATCGCGTAAATGCACTATCATTGATCAAGTCAAAATTTGTAAAATATTCTTTATTCTAAATGCAAGGATCTTGTGTTTTCTATTGAAGCACATTCAATAAACTATCATGAAAGTTTAAAAGTGATATTAAAAAGTTACGCCAAATTTGTAAACATGAATAGATAGAATAGAAATATACACACATGTATTATCTCTTTTTTAATATTTGAGTGATAATATAAAATTGCAGAAGTTTTCACGTGGTCATTCTAATGTCACAATTTTTTCAACTACATATAGTATTATGATTAAGAGCAAAAATAACAGGTCTAAAGTTTCCGATATTTCGAGGTATGAGCTATCACTTTTTGTTTATATATTCGGGTATGTTCGTTTCTAATGAAAACTTATTTTGAAAAGTGTGTTTATAAACAATGAAATAATGATGCACGTAGAGATGAACGTAGCTCCATAATCAATTATTTGTATATGAAAATTCAATCAACAACAATCGTATTAACTTGAAGTATTTTGTTGCGAGAATGTCCACACCTTCAATGTTACGTTAATGGTATTGTAAATGTTTCTTTTTGTTACAGGGGAAAAGTCTCTCTGTCTCACGTAAATAAATATGAATATCATTAAGTAAAATTTTTTCAATTATTTCTATTACTGCTAAGTCTCGCGTCCAACGGCTCATCTACATGTTCGGTATGTCTCAAAGTTTGCTGTGATGTGCTTATCAAGTTAAACGGTGTCGTTGTTATTTGAGCATGTCTCGAGGTATGAGGGCCTTTCATCGTTAGATCGATTTCAGCCTCTTGAGGTCTCTCCCTGATACTCTGCTCTATATCCTTTTCCGGGGAACTACTGCAAATTCGTGGTGGAGATCCACATCCGCACTTGACTTTGTCACTTGACTTGTCGCAATGCATGGAATAACTGCGAGATAATACGAAAATACAGCAATGATTTTGAAATACCGATTAAAAAAAAAAGTACGCTTTCCATATTACAAATGATTCACAAAGTAAGTAAAATATGTTAATATCTTAATATTATGTAATCAAAAGTTTCAAAGTAATATACGAATACGAATCTCGCACTTATTTCGATAGTTATCATTACACGAATGTATTTACATTGGCATATATAGCTATATTATACGATCAAAATCTATATCTATCTTATTTGACTGTAGCCAGAAATTGAGCTTGTAATATAAAATGTTAAATATTATTATATATAATAAATATTAAATTCTTTTTTAAAAAGTATCGCGAATTATATATAATTTCTATATCTAAAATATATGTATATATATATGCGTACCTATGAGCAGCAGAAAGTAAACGGTAGTCTCTGCAAATTGGTACGGTAGCGGCGGCTGCGGCTGCGGCTGCAGCCGCGGCAGCGGCCGCACCAGTTTCGACCAATTTCTCAGCTGAAGAAGAAGAAGAAGAAGAAGAAAGAGAAGGTTCGGATAAGGCCGATGGCGGTGGTGGTGAAGAAGCATCCGATCTTTCTATTCCTGCTGTCGGTGGTGGTCTCAAAAGAAGAGGCGTAGCACTGCCTAATCCTAAGCAACGCATCCTCCATGCGTCTTGTAGTAATTGGAGACGAGCCTGCTTTCGCCATTTTGCTCGTCTATTTTGAAACCACACCTTCCCCAAAAGAGAATAATTATAATTAATATTAAACATTGAATGATCTTGGGTCTAATATTGTATTAATATGATCAAATATTTCATAATAGAAAGTAGAAAGGAATAATTTGTAAAAGAAATATAATTTTTTATTTTATAAGCTCAAATTATATAGATATAAAAGTTTCGTATTGAAGATAGAAAAAAGTATTGAAACTCGTAGACATTTTATAACTTATAATGAATTATATTTTCAAAAAAAAAAACAGAACAGCATTTACAAATATTGACGTAAATGGAAAAAATAATACGTTACTAGATAAAAAATTTATTTAAAAGTAAAATTTTTTGTGCATCTGTCTTAATACACAGGTAATATTACAATACAATGCGTACATAGTAATTTTTTGAAAGAAGTAATAGAAAAATATTGTCAAATCTTATAATTCCATTCATAAAAGAATAGGAATAATGACAGTTCTTTTAAATGGGTGTATATAGATATGTCTCTCATCAATATTTGTTTACAAAATGTGTATAATGTAACTCATTTCAAAACACGTGAAAATTATTAAAAAAAAGACATTTTGATTGTTATTATAATACATTAAGAATATTTATCATTATTTTACTAAAAGAAACATCGCGCGAAAGCATTTCACTTACTCGTATTATAAGAAATGTCGAAAAACGCAAATTAAACAAATCACCAGAATACATCGAGTAATAAATAAATGTTGATACAAAACGTTGAAATGATCATAATCGCACAATAAATGCAATCAAATTATTTCGAAGACATAATTTTGAATCGACCCTCTCTTTTCTACCTATAGTTTTCTCGACAAGTAAAGCATACCTGAACGCGTGCTTCCGAGAGTGAAATTCGAAGAGCTACTTCTTCCCTCAGGAATACGTCTGGATAATGAGTCTTCTGGAATAGGGATTCCAATTCTTGCAATTGCTGCGGCGTAAATGTTGTCCGATTACGCCTCTAAATGAAAAATACGCAACAAATTCAATATTTAAATTCTTCTTCGTCCTATTTGAATATCACGTATGCATTTATTTTAAACGTTTATTTATTTTTTTTTTTTTTTTTCAGTATGAACTCCTTTTATATATCTTTATTATCCGTTCCACGTTATAGTAATTGGCAATCTCTGAATAATATCCACGTGTACACGTCTACATCTATAATTTCATTGAATTTTGTATTCGAAATAACCGACAAGAGACATACACTGCTCTCAAAGCAAAAAATACAAATTTTGTGTTTGTCTTTAAACAAGAATTTTATTTTTATTTTATGCACGGAAGCACCACATTGATTCACTTACAAAAATGCAAACTCATTAATTAAATTAGATCTATAGACTTTTATGAAAATTAAATGGTAAAAGTGTAACAAAAACTATTAAATAATATGTATACGTTATATATTATGATACAATCTTAATTTTATATCTTTTATTATTATTAATATGTCAATTTTGTTATATATTAGTCAATATAATATAGTAATATAATTATATATGGTAATTTACAATGATAGTACTCTTATTGTTTAGATTAAGGAACCCGATCCACTAGCAACAAGTGTACAAAAAATATATGCAGAATACATACATATCTGTGTTAGGATATTTTTTTCACGACAATATGGAAAATGAAAGTTTTAAATTTAATAAAATTAAAAAATGAAAGTATAAAAGCGATTAAAAGAGACATTCTTTGAAGATATGATTTTTTGAAAGATATTTCGAAAGTATTTTTGCTTTTTAATATAGAAATATCAGCGATCTTAACGACAATAGATCGACATAAATTCAATAATCGTTTTCCTATCTTACAACGTCGAGAATTAGAAAAAAAAAAGTGTAAGATACTCTCGAATAGTATTGTTCTTGTAAGTTTAATTGAAACTTACAACAAGTAGAACTCTCGAAAAAGATTCGAACGAAAATAGGAAAAGAATGATTTTACATGCCTAGAAAAAATAGATAAGATCGAAACGTACACTGACCTGACGACGACGACCGAACATATACTCGGTAAGTAGATCAGCCTGAGGCCCTAAGGGTGAAAGATAAGGACCGGCCATATGGACGAACACCTGCACCGTGTGCCTTCGTGACCCTTTTCGGAAACTGTAGTCAACTGTTGTGGACCAATAACAGACAAATTACGACACTTACGATTCTTAACGGCGTGCGTGGAATGTCCAAGAAAACGAGGAAACCGGCGAACGAGGATTGGTTTGGTTTCGCTCGTAATGGAGGTGGTAGGAAAACTGCCCGTAAAGCTAGCGAGTTCGCGAGCAACAACGAGAAGCGACTGTTTCCTACCCTTGTTTGCGGGGGTGTTGCGAGATCGGGCCGCGTTCCCTATTGGTTGCGCAGTTCTGGGGCGTTACCGGCGTTGCACGAGGATGCACACACCCCTTCCTGCAGTTATGGAAAGTCCACTAAATCGTAATGCGCGTACCATTCTTTCTCCCTTTGCATCTCTACCCTCCCTTACCCTCCCCGCCCACTCAATTCGTCCTCCTTTTTCTACCCTTCTTCTCCTCTCCTCTTTCTCCACTAACTCCTCTTTCTTCTCTTATTTCTGCATCCTCTTTCCACTTTCTCTCTCTTTCTCCCTGTCTATATCTCTATATTTTTCTTTCTTTTCTATACGCGCTCATTTAGGCCTCCTCTGTCCTTCTTTACTCTATTATCCTTTGCTTTATTTTTTTTTTCTCTCTTTTTCCCGATACTATGCTTTTTACCGATCTGCAAAAATTCAGTTCGATCACTCACTCAAGAATGCTTTTGAATTTGTATTCTGAGCTCACGGCGCCCAATCGATATTCAAAATCGATCTCGTACCGCGATTTTCTCGGTTTACTTTTTTTTTTTTTTAAACGATGTAATCTCTTTTTATAATACTGTTTTTGATCGTTTATTGACCTTACTACAGTCGTAACGTAAATACGTAGTTATGATCTACTAGTATGCGTATTATTTTATCTTTATGTCATATTGAAACTTCTCACGTTGGTGATATCGTATGTTTTTCATAAGTATAATTCCTTTTTTTTTTTTTTTTCTTGAGTACATACGTTAAGTAATTACTTATATATTTACTTCTTAAAAAACATTAATATTTTAGCTTCATAAATAACTACTATACGTTCTTCGAGATGATAAAGAATATGCATATACATACATTGTTTTATACATTTAATGTTCTGAGAAATATCTGTTATTTATATTGTGTAAAGGAGGCTGCGTCTGGATTTGATCGTGGATTGGAAAGTGTACAGTTTTAATCGATCCGTATCAATTCTGAAACTATTAAAAACGACTAGAAATGATAGCTCTCAATAACTTTGAATGAATCTCTTGTTCGTGATTTTTCTTGTTAGATTTTAAGTCAAAACTACTTCGAACGTTTATGACTATTTCGGACTTTTATCTGGATGATCTTCGTTACCATTAACAAAGTGTTCCCTAAATAAGGTACCCTGATATAAAATGATATAATTAAGAAAATATATGAAGAATTGAGTAAGTATATTAAAACAATTGTTCCAAATTTTAAGTATACTTAAGAAATAAACAAATTTTTTCAAGTTCTGTTACAAAATATTCGATGTCCTAGTAGTAAAGAAAGTTTGAAATACGCGGTTTGCAGATATACTTAAACAATATCGAATATTTCGGTAAGATCGAATGAATTTAATTGTTATTATAAATGTATATTCGTTGGAACAGAAAAATTCACATAAGAGGAAGAAGATGATCGAAGAATTCTCTTTGATAACGTACAGTGATGCAGAGACGTAACCTCTTTCCACGTTATTAATCTTCGATTTCTACGAGGTAGTCTTGATTATTTAGAAATGCGTCAGTCGATAAATGGAAATAAAGAGAGAAACTTAGTGTCTGGGCGTGGCAACAGAGATTAAAACGAGCAGAGGAAAGCACCACACCACCTTATTCGTCGTGGTTATTGCGAGGATGGAAGAAGGGGGGTAGAGAGAGAGACGACGACGATGCGAGCAAAGGGTAAATTAATAAAAGACCGAGGGGTGTCTCGTAGAGGCGGATCCTGGGCGGTGGCATTGTGTCCAATGAATAACGCTCTTCATCTCGTTATCTACATTCAGTCTGCATAACAATACGATTCAAAATCCACTCTGCGTATATACGTCAATGTGAGCCCCACTAACGTTGTCCGAGTATACCCTACGTAATTAATCAGCTTCTCTTTTCGTGCCTTTCTTTAAAGGAGAATATTTTTTTCTATTGTATGAATATATATATGTATGTATGTATGTATGTATGTATGTATGTATGTGATATTAATATGTCATTTATAAGTTTTTAGTATTGTTTAATACTATTATAATTTTAATATTACATTTTCATTGACTATTTTATTATTGTCTTCATTATCACACAAATCACATAAAAATTATGAAATATAGATTAAATTATTATTTCGAAAAACAATTCGAGTATCTATTGCGTTTAAATGAAAATATAGTTAAATATAACGAACGGTACTTGCCAATATATTTATTTAACATATATATGTAACAGTATGCATGTACTACTTAAAAAAAAGACCGATCTAGAAGCTTCCTTAAATCTCAATATAAGGGGTCAAACAAGTTCAAAGTTTCTTTAAATAATGAGTGTCTATAAAATGCATCTCATATTAATATGCATTATACATAATGTTATTATGTATATATTATAAACTTTAATAGACAGATACGAAGACTTATTTTTCTAAATGAAGCATTTGTTTTGAGCAGGTAAAAGAGATGAGCAGAGGGAGAAAAAGAAAGAGAAAGAGAAAGAGAGAGGGTGGAAGGGAGGTAGAGAGTTTAAAAAAAGACGACGGAAAAGGAAGAAACGAAAAAAAAAGGAAAGTTCGGAGAAGCCGAGGCTAGAAAGCACAGATTCCGATGCTCGCTGGCCGTGCAGCACATCAGACAGAGGCACATAGCCCGAAGCCATGTAATTCATTACTAAAGCAATCTCACCCTGGCACCCTTCTGGTCTCCACTCTGCCACCAGTCTTCCTCCGCCCCTGACCCATCAGCCACCCGCGCGCTGCGTTATAATATAAAAAAAGAAGATGGCGAGACGGAGAAAGAAGGTGGAGGAGGAGAAGAAGAAAAAGAGAGTACTGAATAGAATAGCATTCTGACAACAAAACAAAATGGAACACAAAGTCGTGTTTTCATAATTAAAAAGATTGCGCGCGCTTCTTTCTCTTCGCCCCTTTTCCTCCAAATCTTCTTTCCCCCTTTCTCCAATGTTCTTATCTTTTATGATTCCTACTACCTATTTACTCTATCCATCACAAACATTGAAATTTATTGTATTTCTTTTTTATATACGAAAATACCACATCGCGATATATAATACATACCCCTATATTATATATATATAGGTATATAATATATATTATTTGTTTTTAATATATCTATCTCTGTATACATATAGATACTTTCATATAAGGAACATATGATCACTCTTATATTACACTTTATTCCTCTATTGTTATAAAACATCGCTCGCCAAAAGTGGACTCTTCCTTACTGTTATTATGATTATCATCAATATTGCCATTATCATCACCATTATCATAATTATATATATTATTATATTATTTGTTATATAATATTGTAATATCGTTCCTTCGCTCGATCCTCAAACAGACCCAATCTTTAACGAGGAATAAGCTCTTCTTAAGACCCTTTTTCTATCTCCTCAAACTCATCGAAGCAAGTATTCCCTTTCTTTTCAAAGTTTTTCTTCTTGACATTCATTATTTCTATTTCTTACTGTATATTTATAATCACTACTTTCAGTCATATTTATTATTATTATTTTTTTCGTTGGTACACTTTTTGTTATTGTATCCGACCATTAACTTTCCAAAATTACCGTGAGAGCAGAATAAATACAAGTTCTACAATTTACAAGATGTTACAAATCATTATAATATAATTTATTAAGGCAAGCTCTTTTTGGATACCGAAATCATGTACGCTCTCAGGACTGAGAAAAACCGTGGCTCAGAACACTGAAATACAATTATTTGCTTTTTAGATCATAAATTTGTAAACATTAAAAGTGTAATATTAAATATTTTTTATAACAAATCTTGTTACTATAAACGTTTGCATTATGTTTTCAGATGTGAAGCTATTAACATCTCACGATCATAACCCATGGCATATAGAACGTAACAGCAAGTTACGGTAATACAAAGATATTTGTATCGAATCGGTACCCTTAATCTATTCACACACACACACACATGTATAATTTGCAAATATATATACCGTAATATTCGCTCTTCTTAAAATTAAAGTATTTAACATGTGCATAAGAAAAAAAAATGATTTTTCATTTAATTTTCTCAGATTGTTTTTCGTATCGTGATATTTTTACTTATTCAATCATAATAAGAACAGCTAATTAAAATTTCAATTTCAATTGGATTGAATAAATATATAAAAATGTTTTTGATTAATGAGGATCAATAAAAATCGCATTTTGAGAAGAGGGATATTCATAATTTCTGTGTGTGAACATGTTATCTTTACTCTGCCTGCTTGCCCCCCATCCTCCTCCTCCTCCTCCTCCTCCTCCTCATCCTGTCCCTCACTCTCTCTCTCTCTCTCTCTTTTCTTCTCTTTCTCTGTATTGCGTAAATGCGCGCATGTAAGCTGGCACAGACGAAGAGATAGAAACGAGCGAAGAGAAGGTTCTGTCTCCAGCATTTTTTGGGAGAAGGGGTTGAAAGGATGGAAAGGAGGCTGCGGGGTAGGGAATAGCAGAGAGGGGGAGAAATATAGGGGTGGGCGGAGGGGGTTGAAACAACAGACTATATTATACAATACTATCTGTCGGTCCACAATCGCATACAGCTCTCAGTTCATTGTTTCCCAGTACCTACAGATGTGCGCCGCTTTCCATTGTCGGGCCATAGGCGCATTGCTCGCTGTAGATGGAGAGAGACGTGGATAACGCGAGTTTGGTGTGGGAGGGGGTAGGAGATATAAGAGCGCCACGGAAAGGAACATATCAATTCTTTGTCGCATCAGCACTATCCGTCTCTAGTACGGGCTAACGGGTGACAGACGTAAAAAATTCATTGATTTGTCTTATACTAAACAAATAATCGACAGTGAAAGAAGAACTAACTCTAACTTCTTACTTGTATTCCTTTTTTAAGCCAGGCTAATTGGATTATAATGTATATGAATTATCTTTTACATGAACTTATCGAATATTATTAGTAATACTCTTTAAATAATATT